AAAAAAAAAAAAATGTCGGTGATGAAAAGATGTGAAAAATAGATGATCCAACTCTATTATTTTTTATTCCTTAACGAATAAGCCATATGAGAATTACTCATTTAATATATGTGTCATGTGTATCGCACGAACTAGTTAAAGGACAAACTCTATGAAAATATCCCATTTAATATTTTTATCTCGTGCACCGCACAAGCTGCGTACTAGTTGAAGAGACAGATATTATAAAAATTCTTTACCATTTCAAAATAAATAGACAATAAACATTAGTTAGCAAGTTAAAATACATATCCAATTTTTTACCAAGCCAAATGCTTCCTGACGTTTTGAAATATATATAAAAAAAAAAGGTACTCGAAATAATATGTAATTAATGTTGACAAATTTTTTGCTTACTATTTTTAGTAAATGATAAATTCTTATTATATACTAGTGCGTGGCCCGTGCGAATGCATGACAAAGTAATATTATGATTGTGTTATAAATAACATTAATCAAGATCCATCATTTTCAAATTAAACCGCATTTGGTCACAGTCCGACCGGATGGACCGAGAAGCGGTTTATAACCAGTTTAGTTCGCTTGAATAAAATATTTGCTATCGAATCCGTCAACACCAGTTGGTTGAACTGGTATGATCGATACGATTTTCTAAACAAATTTTGCTACATTTAAAATCATTTTAAATAAAATTACATATTTAAATAAAAAAAGATTCATAAATTGTTTATCAATTAGATTAAAAATTGAAATTTTTAAAATGTTTAGATATTTAAGTAACACATTTTTTTGAATTTATTACAAAAAGTGTACTATATATGTGTACATATGTAATAAGATATATATAAATTAAAAATCTGAAAAACCACAGATGATTTATTATAATAACTTCATCGTTTCGATGATGGTCTGATTTTGAAAACCTTATATTTACTGTATTTTATTCACATAAATATAAATAAAAAGATACAATGTATTATAAATTATTAAACGTGCTTCATAAAGTATTGTTAATACGATTATTTGAAATTTGAATTATATCACATTCACGTAATAAAGTACTTTCAATATTAAAATTTAAATTTAGGTTCAATAATCAATTTGGTCTGGTCAACTGTACATAAATTTGTCACATAGGACCAACCAAGTTGTGTGAATATTTTGACTATTTTAAATACCACCTAAAAGTAATTTAATCAACCTGGGCAAACCCTAATTCAATCACCCGATTGATCTAAAGAAATTTTCTTATTTTCTTTAAAATATTTAATTTTATGAAATAAAAATATTTTATGATTCATATAATAAATGTCTATATCAAATGATAGTATATTAAGATTATAAATTATATATCTAAAGACGAATTAATTAATTTTACTTTATGCATATTAATAAAATATAAACATAGATTTCCAAAAATTAAGATTAATTTAATTAATTAACAATTTAAATAATATTTTGAGAATTCAATATTTTTTTGAAAGGCACAAATATAGAGATCGATATTCTAAAACTTTTGTTATATTTTGAATTGAGATTTTATAAACATAGAGACCGAGATTTTAACGTTGTTCATTGGTTCTAAGAAAAAAAATAAAAATAAAAACATGAACACTTAATAGATCTTAGCCTGATTTTTTAAAATAATGAAATGAACTAAAACTGAAATTTAAGGTGGCATTTAACGATGTATGATTTTTAAAGAAAAAAAAATAAGTAAAACTTACTATTTATGGGCTGCATTAAATTCTGACCTATTCTTTTGCTCATATTTTTGGTAAATAGATTGTCTATATATATATATATATATATATATATATATTTAATAAAAAATATTGGTAAATTTAGTTAAGAATTAGAAAAAATAATCCACAAATTTTTTAAAAAAAATACCATTTTTGAAAAGGTTGATCAATCATAGGGAAAGATCAATATTTTTTTTAAAAAAAATTAAAACGAATTTACCTAAAAAATAGTAAAAACTAAAATTCAACTATTGAAAAGATTGCACGATTTTTCAATTAATTAAAAAACAAATGAAAATAAAATGAGATGAATAGGGCATAAATGGTGAACAAATTTTGGAATGAATTTGATTGGTGTAACCCATTCAAATCTCAAATTTTAAAACCAATCTGACACGTTTTTTTGTAACATATTTCT